TATACCGCCTATGTTCATTTTTTGTGGACAAAGAATTTCCTACGTATATGGAAGACATGCACCTGAAGGATCTATAATAAAATGCACTCGAAATGGCTGAACTAATGAAGAGATATTTATGATTTGGCTACAACATTTCGCTCATTGTATTACACCAACAAAGGAGAATCCAGTGTTGTTGGTGTTGGATAATCATAGTAGCCACATTTCATTGTCAACTTATAGTTTTTGTACGAATAATTACATACATATGCTTTCATTACCTCCGCATACCAGTCATCGAATGCAACCTCTAGACGTAAGTTTCTTTGGACCTCTTAAGCGAGCATATTATCGAGAAGCCAATTTGTTTATCAAATCAAAAAACTTGACGAAAATACAATCTTCTGATTTGCCAGGTAATTTTAATTGTTATTAAACAAGGAAAGATCAAAATTTGGAAACAATAAAAAATTTATAACAATTATTTTTTATTAGAACTTTTTGGAAAAGCTTATAACAGAATTGCTTCTATCGATAAAGCTGTAAATGGGTTTAAAGCAACTGGTATTTATCCCATTGATCCATGTGTTTTCGAAGATTCAGAATTCGTCGTTGATCATCAAGTTAGTGCACAGGTTATATTTGACGATTATATTCCTGTAGTAAGTGAGGAAACTTTAGTCGCTATTGACAATTCAACTGTCACATTTGCAATAAACAAGGAACTTGATGCCAGTTCAATTATAAATCAGCATTGTATTGAAAATGAAGACAAAGAAAATGAAAATCTCTATGAGAATAAACACACTGGTCAGAATGAAACTAATAAAAACTCTGCAGTTATTCAAGATTTTAAAATAAGCCTGACAGAAATGTGCCCTTCGGCAAAAAAATTGCCAAATCCATCTTCACAACAAAATAGAGAGAAGCAACATTCAGAAATATTAACTTCATCACCTGTTCAAAAAATGTTGGAAATTAAAAAAGGAAAGAAAGAGGAAAAGGCAAGGCATGCTGAACAGATAAGGATAAAAAAAGATTTACAGAAAAATATTAAGATGCAAAAAGATGAGGAAAAGCGTAAGAAGATAGATT